TATGCGCCTGGATAGCGCGGGCGGTTGGAAGTGCTCAATCCACGCCTGCAGATCGCCTTCTCGTCTGCGGCCGCCGTAGAGGTGAGGGGAAAACCGAATAGATCCTCCTCTAGGTTTCGGCAGCGCTGGCTGGGTCGCGGGCACTTGGGCCAGCGGGGGGTAGTTCGACAGGAGGAATCTGATCGTGGGAGGCCCGCTGGTCCTCTCGGCTCGTCGGGGGGACGTCTGTCTGTTGGCTCGCGATGTGTGCGCAGCCAGGTGGTCGTCCCACGTTGATGTTGCTTCTCTGGCCTGCTCGCATGGCCTCGCTGTTCGCTCCTGTCTCTGCGTCGTCGAAGGTTGATACTGACGTCATCCATGGCACCGCGCACGATGGCGTCGCCTGGAATTGCTTGACGAGTTTTGTGCGGGCGCGGCACTAGCGGCTGCATGGTAGGGCGCTCCTGCGGCGCTGTCCCAGACGCGCGTAGTAGGCATTCTTCTGCATGCAGGTGGCCCCGCACTGGCAGTACGTCAGGATGGGCCTCGGCGGCGCAGACGGCATGGTTGCACCGGTGGCAGCTCGGCGGTGTTCTGGTGGAGTTCCATCTCGCGGCATCATCGTTCCCGGCGCGCCTTGTCTGTCGCAGGTACCTGACAAACACTGTTGTCACACATCGTTTAAATCAGGCTCGTCTCGCGCCAAGTGGACAACCTTGCAGAGGTCAGTCAATTTTGAAAGCCCTTCGTCGCTACGTAGGAATCGCACATCAATTTCACACCGCCCTCCACGCTGGCCGCCCAGCTGTCTGCGGGGCGACGGTACTCACTGAGGAACCTCAAGGGAACTGCCCCTGGCTCGCATGGCGACGTCTGGTGGCAATACGTCGGCTTCGCCGAGCACTCCCAGGTTAGACACCCTCGTCGGAGATCATGGACGCCCGGCAGCTGGCAGCTTGCCTGCTGCCCCTCAATCGTTTTGTTCTCGGCCTCCGTGAGGTTGCTCCGCCCTGCTTACCGTCGCCCTGCTGATCCGCCCCATGATTCCCGGCCCCATGCGAGCTGCCCCAATGACTTTTGCACTGATGGCTGTCTGGGAGCCGACATCTCCACCGCCTGGCCCGCGCAAGCACTGGCAATGCCGTCGTCGCCGTCCTTGGCCATGCGCCCCCTGGTCGTTCTTGAGCTCGCGCCAGATGAAACCGCACCATCCCGGTCATGTGGCGTCGAGGCGCACCCCGCGCGCTCGCACTCGTCTCGACAACGTTTGGGACGTCGGTCGCAGTGGTCACGGCATGCGCAGGCGTCGAAATAACGCGTGCTGTTAAATCATCAACGATTGATGTATCTATAAGAAATATACCCCGACGCGTCCACGGCCGAGATATCGGCCCTCTGCGAAGGCTGGCGGCCCCTCGCCGTCGTGGTCGGCGCCGCAGCGAAGTCCTTGCTCGATCATGACCTCTGCGATGGCCTTGGAGACGCAGTCTAAAGTAACGTTGAAGTAGAAATCGGGCATCGGTACTCAGGAGTGCCAGTGCGCGGCTGCGCGATCCGCGTTGAACCCCTCGTTGCAGCCCATAGATTCATATGGGCACCCCAAAAGAAGGCCACAAAATGTCGATGTCACCGTCGACGCGCGGTGCCCTTGTCGGGCAGCCCCCAGGAAAGGTCGCAAGATCTCGGGTAGATCCACGCTATCAAGTAACTCATGGGAATCCTCTTCGCTGGTTGGCAGCCGGCACAGGCACTCCTAGACTACCGCGTAGAAGGCGCTTTTGACGTCGAGACAGAATAGCACGCCACTGGCACCTGGATCTTTCGTCATGTCGATGTAGGGCAACACAGTATGGGCGACGATATGTCGCGCTCCTTTCTAGTCGCGCTCCGCAGTGGACGTCGCGCAGTAGCGCCACCGCGATCTCCTGGAGCTATGCCCGCAAGTATCTGCGATGCTGCTTGGCGACCACGCTGTTTCATGGGTAATTCTTCTGCCGCCGAGTTTCTTGCCGTTGACCCTGTTCTTGGCCAATAGGGCCTGCCGCCCACCCTTGCGGGATAGAGGTTCGACTGCCGCGAACTGAGCTTCGACGAGGAGCGGGCGGCGTAGGCGCGAAATCCACGCGGACGCCCCTGCGCACGTCGTCGGCGATGCTGTCGGGGCCCCCTTGCCTGTTGCATAGGGCCCTGCGGGTACTGGCAGCCAGCTCGTCCCTGGTCACGATGAGGGAGATAGGCGTGTCCACATGGGCGCGCAGGGAGGTTGCCCTCTTGGCGTTCGCGTTATACGCGTTTGCAACTTCTCCTGGGTCGCGGATCCTGGCGCGGTCGGCGATCGCGAAGTGGCCCAGCTCTGCCCCGCATAAACTTTCTCGCCTGCGACAAGTTCCCCGTCAACATCGGCCGCGTAGCGGCGCTCCGTCACCACCCATGGCTGGCGCCACCCGAATCGAAGCAGGTATTCCCCCCCCCCCCCCACAGTCGTAGATTCGTTGGGCTCGCTCGCGTCTCGGATGTTGTCGACGCAGCCACTGAGGAAATCGCCCCTGTCCCCCGCATCCCCAAGACGAGCTGCCTCTTGGATAGCTGCAGGAAGGCGTCGATGGCAAGGCGGAGCTCGTCGCGCTCCGCCTGGCAACGCATTACCCGCAGTCCTGCATATACTAGTTTGGCGAATGCGGCGGGGTCCTGCACCGCATGCCGCGCGGCCGCGGCGAGAGCTGGCACGCGAGCCCGGCCGTCAGAATACGCGCGTTGGTGGATGCAGGGTGGCCCTTTGCATGCTCGACGCAGCCGTTAGCACGCTCGTCGCAGCCGCGGCAATGCGAACGTAATCTCCGTGATGCACGGCATCCGGATCCTCGTGGCCCCTTGCACGCCTTCCCGATCGCTCATCTCACAGCTTTGCTGAGGCGACGAGCGCGGTCGTGAACGTCGCAGCAACAAGTGTACAAACCGATGTTGTTCAGCTCCTATGGAAGTATTACGGTGGATCGGGCTGGCCACCAGCTTGGACTCGAGTCGCAGCGCAAATTTTTGAGCGCGGCAATGGCAACGTAGCCTTGGATCATCATGACGGGCACACGGCCCCTGTCTTACTGAACCATGTCAATGGGGAAAATGGTCAGCACCTCTTTCACAGTGTCCATGCGGTTTTTGGGAATGACAACGTAGCCAATGCGTTCTCTCTACGAGTCTCGCACGTATGTTGCGGTCCTCTGCACACTACTGAAACATTGGATGCCGCCAGCTTGAAGTAGTCGAGCTCACGGTGGCGATTCCCGGCGTCGATCCCCTAGGACCTCTGCCCGTGGTCGCCCGTGGAATATTACGCGAGGCGCCCGTGTCTGCACTGGCGTCAGACGAGGTCGATGCTGAACTGCGTCGTCACGTTGCTGGGGTTTGTCCAACAAGCGTCGGCCTTCTCGTCGCCAGAGCGCCCGCGCGGTAGCAAGGGGAACCGCCACCGTTGTACACAGACACGGTGCCGCGATATGCACCACCCACAGCCTTGGGCTCTGATGGAACATCTTGAAGTGGTCGGGCCTCGAATAGCCCCTGTTTCCAGCCCTCTCCGCGCAGGGCAAGTCGAGGTCGACGGGCAGGGAACACCACGTTGTGATTGTCGCCCCCGCTGGATATGATATAAAATATGCGCATTATGTTCGCTCCTCTTGGTAATCGGCTTTCCTCCGTGCCTATGAGGCGGGCGCCCATGTGCTTCAGCTGGTGGTTGATGACCTCCAGTATTGTGATCTTCGGTTGCTGACCCCGCCTGGCGCGGACGGTATCTTTGAAGCTCCCCATGTAGACGGCGAGCGTCTTGAGGTTGATGTTCGTCTCCTCGGTGGTCTGCTCGTCGCTGGACTGGGAGTACCCAGGCGGGGCGCATGCCATCGGAGGGCGCGCGGCCAGCCCCCGGCTCAAGTCTGGGTCGGACCTCATCACCCCGCGCGCCCTCGGCGCCATGCTGCACTTCAGCTTGCTGCATGACGAGCTGTAATATGCTTGCAATGCGTTGTAGTGGGCCTGCTGCCCGCGAGCGCTCACGTCGGTCAATACTCTCTAGAGGCATCCCTCTCGGTGTTGAGCTCGTTCAGCATCCCCACGCGGCTTTCGTGCGCTCGTGGTTCGTCCTGAATGTGCTGCCGCCTCCCCTCAGCACCCCCGCCCCCCATTCTGCGTACCAGAATGTCGCCGCTGTCCTCCTCAACGCGAGCCTCGGCTGTCCGCTCTTCCACGTGAACTACGTTCTGCTCGGCCTCCGTGACGATGTTGAAGAGGATTTACCCCTCCTCCACCACTCATGCAGCTTCCTGTAGCTGTTGTTGCATATTAGCCCGGTCGTCGTCGCTGTCGGCGGGCTTCTCGTTGGCGGCCCTACTTTGTTTCGCAATGGATCAACCGATGCCCGATCGTGGTATGGATGTCTCTCCTTTGTCGTGGCTTGACGGCCTCCAGCTCGCCGTCGGATCGGTCGGGGGCCGCGATGTGTCTGCTTTGCGCGAACTCGCGGTGTGATGCGGGCGCGTCGTCCGACTCCTTTGCCATGTTGATATATGTCTCCAGCTCGTTCTGGTAGTACTGGGCACGTACTGCTTCTTTTGTGGACGAGATATGACTGCGCCTTCTTTTCTGCTGCTCGCAGGTACGTCTTGAGCTAGCGAATCTCGTCGTTCGCGTTACTCTTGTTTTCTTTCTGTCGCAGGCCATGCGTTGGTGGTCCTCCCTAAGGGTCTTGAGCAGCATGCCGACATCGTGCCCGTCGGCTGTCTCGCCCGCCCTTGATTGCCTCCTGGCAGCTGGCCTTGGCGCACGTCTTTGCCTCCTCCTCCTCCTCCTCCTCCTCCTCCTCCTCCTCCTCCTCCTCCTCCTCCTCCTCCTCCTCCTCCTCCTCACTTCCCTCCCACCCTCCCTCCCTCCTTCCCGCCCCCTCTCCCTTCTCCCGACCCTCCCCCCCTCCCTCCCCCGCTCCCTCGCTCCCTCCCTCACAAACCTCCGCGCACTCCCCATGGGGTGTCCTTGGCGCCGAACAGGTCCACCTGGGAGCTCGGAGCGGAGGGCGGCTCGCAAGCAGGGGGGCAGGAGGGGGGGAGGAGTGCGGCAGAAGTGGGGAAGGGCAGGAGAGAGGGGGCCCTGGCATCCTCACGTCGCGGAAAGGTCACAAAGGAAGATGTTTCACAATTCTCTGCCTCTTGGGGCCCTCACCGGGTCTCGGGACCGGCAAGAACCGGCTCGGGATGGAAAGCCGGTCCCCCGACGGGGATCCCGAACTCTGGGGAGCCGAGCTGTAGAAAAAACACGCCGTCGGATGCCTGGGGGGAGGGAGGGGGCGACGGGGGAAAGAGGGAAGGAGGGGGGAAGAATGGGCACGACCGCGTGCTGTACGAATGGGCGCGGAGTGCCACCAGCGTGAGAGCAAGGAGGGAGAGGGGGGGGGGAAGGGGGGAAGACGGGGCGCAGGAGTGGGCGGGTGAGAAGGGGAGGGGGGGGGGGCGAGGATCGTGAGGGGGCAGGAACAGGGGAGGAGAGATGGACGCACCAGAGGAGCTGCCGGGCCCAAGCCTGCGGTTCCAGGCGAGTGGCGAGGAAGACCTGCCGGTCACGTCTGACCTCCATGCCTGCAGCGAGAAGGACTTGGAAGAGGCCCCCTGATGTTTGGGTACACTGCCAGATCCCGTGAAAGGTCATCTACTTCCTGCACCTCTTCGCAGGACAGAGGAGGCGAGGAACCTTCAAGACCACCGGGAGCAAGAAAATGCATGGGCTGGGTCGAGGATTCAGGTCGTCAGCATTGACGTGGTCAGCAGTGAGAAGAAAGGCAACCTCGGCAATGATGGTGTGGTTCAACTGTGGACGGCGGCCACCTGTGCGATAAAGTCAGTTGTGGCAGTTTCGCGTGACAGGCCAATCAAGACGTGGTCGCACCAGGCCAGTGTTTTGCGACGACGGTGCAGCCAGGGCAAAGATGTACCACATGCCGAAGGAAAGCCCACAGGCCACTGAGAAATCTGAGACTCCCGCTTGGGGTCGACGCCTGGAGACCCAAGTCATAGGAGCAGTCGGCGCTGGCAGGGGTTCTGCCCCTGGCAGTCCCCCGCAAACGTGGCCCCTCGAAGCATGGAGCACCCAGCTCCCCACGAGGACGAGAACTGCTCGAGCTCGCGCCGCCCGAGGGCCGTCAACAGGATGGCCGCATTGCTGAGCGTGGGGCTCACTGAAGACCACCGTCTTCACCACGCACGGCGACGAGATACCCAAAGCCCGCAAGAGGTTTGGGGTATTGAGGGTGGGGCAGCCATCGCGGTGGCCACCAGATTCCGGAGGGCAGAGCGGATGCCGGAGCTGGATGATGGCCCCAGCGTAGCTGCACATCGGCCAGTTCTCAAAGGGCCTGGCGATGGCCATGAAGGAGAGAGCCATGAAGAAGTGGCGGGACGTGGAGCACGATGACCTCTGGACGACGTGGAGTAGGACCACAACTGCGCGGCCTTCTGGCTGGACCGGGGGGTATGACAACCTCTGGCCGGCGTGGAGGACGACTCGGAGCAGGGCGAGTTGAGGCAACGGGCAGCCCAAAATCGATCCCCGGACCCATCCCGCGGTCTACACGCACTGCTTTTCCGAGGTGCGCCCAGCCGTGGCGACGAGGGGCCCCCCGAAGGCCAACTTCCGCTGTCTCAGCTCGCCTTCCTGTGCACGACAACCTCCTGGCAGCAGCGCTGGGACGCGACGTGGAGCCCGACGACCACTGCGTGTGGCCCCGGACCCGTGCGCCGCGGGCCACGGCTGCCGCCGCGGCGCGGTCCTGCGCCGGGGCGCTGCAGGGGGCCGAGGCCTCCCGAGGCCCCGACCGCGCGCGCCCGCTGACTGCTGGGGGCTCCCCCCAGGGGATCCGCCTGGGAGCTTCCTGCGGCTGCCCCACCCTCTCTGAGGAGGGCGCCAGCTATGCAAAAAGGACCGATCCTGGCCAGGTCCACCCTGGACCCGGGATGGGCGTCCCCGACCGCACGCGCCCGCTGACTGCGGGGTCCCCTGGGACTCGCCTGGGCGCTGCCTGCGAGTGCCACGCAGTGAGCCAGTGGAGTGCCTCAAGGCCCATGCAGTCCTGAGAGAAGAGAGAGCTTGTAGGCTCTGTAGGGCACGGACAACGAAATTCCTGGACTTCATGTGCGTCCAGGCGTCTCCGTGCGTCTCCGTGCGCTTCCAGGCGTTTCCAGGCTCTGGGCGCCTCGGAAGTTGCCCGCATGGGCCTCTGGGACGGTGACCCCGTACGCATACACCGATCCTGGCCAGGTGCGTCCTTGGCCCAGGATCGGTGTATACGCCTTCCTGGCTTGGCTAGACTGGCATACACAACCGATCCTGCACCCTTCTGCAAAAGCAAGGCAGCCACTGTTTCTATTTCTTCCCCCCCCCCCGACCTCCGATCTCACTGCTGAGTCCGCCGCGACGGCGGAAAAGTGGGATCGCGCAGCGCCCCGCGCGAACCTTCGAATCGAGGAGAGCGGGGCGACGGACGCCGCGCGAGAGACGCCTTACTTTTCCAGGGTGGGCGTGGGCCCCGGGCCCCGATCGGTCCGTAGCCTCGGCCCGCGGCCCGGCCCCGCGTCCCCACCAGGCCGCGTCCGCAGCGGGGTCCCCACCAGGCCGCGTCCGCAGCGGGGCCGCGCGGGGAGGCGGCCTCGCCCTTGGAGGCCCTGGCCCGCGCTAGATGCCCCTTGCCCGTCGTCTCCCGCGCGATGACTCTGCCAACGGCGTGGGACTCCCGAGGAGCCTGGGCCCTTGGCACCCCCTCCTCCTCCTCCTCCTCCTCCTCCTCCTCCTCCTCCTCCTCCTCCTCCTCCTCCTCCTCCTCCTCCTCCTCCCCCTCCTCCTCCCCCGGGGAACGCCTCTCCGTCCCGGGCCGTTCTCTCACGGTCCTGGGGCCCGACGAGGGCTTCCCAGGAGGCCGAACAACGGCCAAGAGCCGCCCGTCGTGATCTCATGCCCGCGGCGCGGTGCTGGCAGGGGGGGGGCCTCTATAACCGTGCGGCGAGCACAGAGCCGGACGGACTTTGAGGCGCCCCGCAGGACCCGCGAGGAGGGGGCCGAAGAGGAGGAGCAGGAGACGGAGGTTGTCAACTATCCGCCACCGTGCCTCGTGCACGTGGGGGCGGTGTGAGAGTGCCCCCCCGTTGCCCGATGAGGCTGCTTTGGCGTCTTCCAGGGCCCACCCAGTCCCCTCACCGCACGCGCCCTCCGAGAACCGCCCCCTGCTCTCCGCGGCCGATGTTGGGCGATGCTCCATATCGAATTTGCGGAGGGGCCCCCAAGGGAGGTGAAAATTGCAACAAACAACACAAGCAAGCAAAAACCAAACAGCTAGCTAAACTCCATACGACATTACTGTTTGGAGAGACCTTCTTCCCAGAGAGTCCCTGGGCGAGGGGGGTCCAAACAGCCAGAACCAGCGAAGACAACAACAAAAGCACCCCAGATAACCTGAAAGACGAGACCGACCAAACAAAAAACCTCAGCACGCGCGCGCACACACTCACACACACACACACAAAAAAACAACAACAACAACAACAACAACAACAACAACAAAAACAAAACAAAACAAAAAAAAAACAAAAAAAAAAAAAAAAAAAAAAAAAAAAAAAAAAAAAAAAAAAAAAAAAAAAAAAAAAAAAAAAAAAAAAAAAAAAAAAAAAAAAAAAAAACGCACCGAGGCAGCCATGCTCGCCCCAAGACGGCCAAAAGGCCTCCAACGCGGTGCCAAGACTGCCCTGGAAAGGGCCCCAAGATGGCCCAAGATGACAGCAAGATGACCCAGAGGCCCCCAAGACGACCCAAGAGGGCTACAGGAGGACGCCAAAGAGGCCTTTGAGGGCAACTCTTTGTTTGGCATGTGTGTTTTGACGGGTTCGTGCCTACTGGCCCTTTCTGGTTTCCGAGAGTCCCGAACGGCCCAACAAGACCCCAAGATGGCTCCAAGACAGCCTGACAGGGTCCCAAGAGGGCCCGAAGTCGGCCCAGGAGGGCTCCAGGACGGCCCAAGAGGCCCTCAAGACAGCCCAAGGGGGCTCCAAGACGGCCCAAGAGGCCTTTAAGCCGGCCCAAGGGGGCCCCAAGACGGCCCAATACGCCCCGAAGACGGCCCAAGGGGCCCCAGCAAGGCCCCAAGAGGGGCCCAAAGAGGGGTAGATCGGCCTGGCCTTCATCGCCTCTTCCTGCAGGATTACCTCCAAGATTCGCAACATCTCCCCACAAGGCCCCTAGGGTGACTCAAGACGCTCCCTAGAAACCCAAGAGACCACCAAGAGCCTCCATGAGGTCCTCTTACAGATAACCGAAGGCCTCCCCAACGGACCTCCAGGCTCCCGACAGGCTTTCAAGAGGCCCCAGAGACGCTCCAACATGCGTCTTTTACTCAACCTCCTCACGCTGCGGTGCTGCCCTGGCGCGGTGGTCCCTCCGAAGGAGGATGGGGAGGGGGAGGAGAGGCGAAGGGATGGGAGGGGCAGGGAGCGTGAGAGCGGCAAAGAAGGGCACTAACCAACTACGATCGGCTTTTGACTGAAGTGCCCCTGGCCTAAGGTGTCCCCAGCTTCTGGGCCGTTGGATCCTTGGGCGTCTCTTCTCGGCCTCGTCGGGGTCCTCTGTGGCAACCCTTGGAACACCTTTGGCCAGGACCACCTCTTCTGTCGACGCCCGGCACGAGCTCAGGCATCCGACCCTGTGGCTTCTCGGGGTTCCCAGACCACGCGACCGATTTCCTGGGGCCGGTTTTCATCAGGGTCGTTTTGAGACCGTCTTCTCGGACCCAGAGTGGGACTCCAGAGGCCAGAGCCGTGGAAAAATAGCCAATTTGAGGTCTGTTGCACCTGGACAGCTGGGCCCTGCTTCCCACAGACCCGCCCCCGAAGCCGTGGACCTGTCCTGGAGCGCGCTCTGACCAGAACTCTGGTGCGGATCCAGCCGTGGCGACGAAGGCGCTCCAGACCCAGAAAACAGGATTAGAAGAAAGTCCAGCTTCGAAACTCGAGCCCTGATTGACGCGGACGCCGACGCCGACGCCGACAACGACGACGACGACGACGACGACGACGACGACGACGACGACAACGACAACGACGACAAGGGGTCCCGCGCGCGCGCCGAGCGGCACGGTGCGCCCATACTCGCTGCCGGGCCCCGTCCGCGCGGCGCCCAGGCACGGCTCAAAGGAGCGCCGCCACGGCGACGAGCAGGGCGATCGCAGACGCCTGGAGATCGCTGCGGCGGGCGCGCGCAGGGAGCGCCTAATCCGCCGACCCCGTCGGCAAGTGTGGAAGGCTTTTTTCCGTTTTCGTCGTCGTCGTCGTCGTCGCCGCTCTCCCACTTTCCCTAAGCCCTCCTCGTTCTCCTCAAGCGTTCCAGCCCCAGGGAAATCAAGCAACGTCGCAATGGAGTCCTAAATGGAGTCGAAAGGAAGACCCTTCCCTTTGAGTCGTCGTCGTCGTCCCTCGTCAGAGTCGGCGGCGCCTGCCGTAAGGCCTTCGCAATAAGCATCGCTGAGGCCCATCCCTAGACGTGATCCAGTCCTCCCCAAAAAAGCGCCAAAGCTAAAACGCAAAAGTCGAGAAGGGCGCGCGCGGCGGGGAGCAAATCCACCAAATACTACCTCCATGCCGCGCGCAAAAGCCCGCTGCTCCGAGCGCTGGGATGCAAGGCGCGTCGCGGCCTGGCCCACAGCATTGCGTGCCAGGGCAGCGCGCGGCATAGCCCAACACTGAAACTGCGATACAAGAGCAGCTCACGGCACCATTGCCCAACCCGCCGCAACGGCACACGATACAGCTAACACGGGCACAGTAGTGCACAGCATTGCGCGCAGTGGCCTAAACCAACGAGCTGGACCATATTCCCGCATGCAATTGCGTCGCGATGACACATCGCACAGCATGGTCTGGCTGGAGGCACGGTTGGGGAGGGGGGCCGTCCCAGATTACCCGTTCCCGAGAAAGTCGAGTCTCGGGGAACGGGCAAGCTGCCACAAGGAAGCCGCACACCACGCAACGCCGGGCGCACGGCACGGCATCTCCCTCTTCAGCCTCTGATTGTGTCTCCGACCCCGCCCCCCAAACAACGCTTCTCACCCGACCGCGCCCCGCCCCCGAGCATCCGACCCATGCCTTGGACGCCCCGAGCTATCGGGGAGAGCCTCCAACCCATGCCGCGGCCATGCGCAGTCCCAACTACTCGAATACCTGTCCCCGCGCAATCGCTTGCCCCACTTGCCCCGCTCTATCCCGCTGACGGGCTTGTGGGCGCATCCATGTGTACTTCCTATTTGAACTGCTGTTTGCAATGTGTGTCAAATGCTTTTTGAAATTACATCTAGTTGACGCCAAAATCACGCGGCATTGATCTTTGCGTTTGTCAGGCCACCCCTGCATGATAAGCAACGGAGCCCCCTTGTGGCCCCAGACGCGCCTGGGTGCACGGGGCAGCGCCAGAGACACGACCGTGGAGGATCGCCGCGGCGGGCCCGCGGCGCCGCAGCCAAGCCCCGGCCACGAGGAGCGCCGAACTAGGAAGCGGAGATCCCGCTGTGGTCCCAGACGCGCCCGGGTGCACAGGGGGGCGCCAGAGGAGCGACCTCGGACGGGACCCGGGGAACAGCGAGCGCCGTCCGAAGCCGAGCTGCTCCTCGCGCCATCGCCTCGACTGTACGGCGGGCTCGCGTCGCTGTGACGGCGGCGCTGGTCTCCAGCTCCGCGAGGATCCTTCGGCCCTGAGCGGTGGCAGATTTCCAGCAGCGCAGACTCTTCGACATCGATCCAGTCCGAGCGACTGGCGGCGTTCAACCTTGAACGCCCGCGTTGGGGTTGCCGCCGCATCGACGCAGCGCGAACCTACCGTAGGTTGCAAAAACGCTCGAGATGTTCCCGCTATGCCCCACCCGTTCGTCCCGTACGCTTCCACCCCACGCCCCTCACGCACGCCGCACGCTGTCTCGTCTGCCCTCCCCGGGGGGGACCCTCGTCGCCACGGATGGAGTCGCCTCGAGATCCTGGTCAGGACGCGCCCCAGCTACGAAATCTTGATAAGGGGAAGGGATGCGTGCTTCAGTTCTCTCTTTTTCTCTCTCTCTCTCTCTCTCTCTCTTTCTCCCTCTTTCTCTCTTCTCATACCTTCCTGTCTTCCTAATCCTCATCATCATCATGATCCCCTCACGATCCGTCCCATTCCCTGTCCTCCGCCTCATCCTCGTCCCCCTTCACTACTACCAACTTCCTCCTTCTCCCAGAATCTCTGAGCTAAGATTGTATCCTCGCGCGCACCATAGGGAGCCGAAATAGAGCGCGTGGCATGGGGGGGCATACAGCCAAAGCCCGCAGAGGAGGGACTCGATTCGACTCAATTCGATTCATCCTGTAGTACCATGACGACATGCCTATAACTGAAATTCCAGATGAGTAGGAGAGGAGGGAAAGACGAATAAAAAGATGAAGAATAATAAGAAGGTCATTGAAGATGTTAGGCTTCTCCAGTAGGTAGCTCCGAGAGGGCCAGGAAGGGGGAGGAGGAGGAGGAGGAGGAGGAGGAGGAGGAGGAGGAGGAGGAGGAGGGGGAGGAGGAGGGGGGGGAGGAGGAGGGGAGAAGGGGGAAACCTGTCCCTCCTCCTCCTATCCCACCGACCCTTTTCTCCGACCCTTTCTCACTCTCCAGCCCCATCTGCAAGCGCACGGCATCGCCAAGCTCATCATGGTCAGGTTAGCCCAACGATGGAGCAAACAGAAAAAGGCGAAGACCCTCTCGTCCTCCCCCACCCCACCCCACCCCCCGGCCGCACGGCAAGAAAGGCGGGCCTCCTGGGCCGCCGCCGCGCCGCTGTGGACCACCTGGCCAGAGAAGCCCCCCGAGAGCGGCGCCGCGACCGATCAGGCCCGCACACACACACACACACACACACACACACACACACCTCGCGCTTTGGTGGGGCGCTGGGCGGGACCCGCTGAAGAAAGCGGCCGGCAGCGGGATAAACAGTCCCCCTCCTGTCTCCTCCTCCTCCTCCTCCTCCTCCTCCTCTTCCTCCTCCTCCTCCTCCTCCTCCCCTCCTCTCTCCTATCTCCTTATGTCTCCTTCTATCTCCTTCTGTCTCCTCCTCCTCTCCTCCTCCTCTCCTCCTCCTCCTCCTCCTCCTCCTCCTCCTCCTCCTCCTCCTCCTGCTCCTCCTCCTCCTCCTCCCCAACGCGGGCCACTGTAAGCTGGATCCGAGTCTTTTCTCACCGTTGTCGCCCCCCTCAGTTTCCCTCCTCCGCCTTCCCCTGGAACCCCTACTTCGCCCGCTGCTTCTACTCAGCGACTGCTGCTGCTCCTGTTCGTCCTCGTCCTCACCCTCATTTCTCATCCTCCTTTTCCTCCTGCTCATTTTCCTGCTCAGCCTCCTGCTCATCCGCCACCCCCTCCTCCAATGTACGCAGCTCTCCTGGTCCGTGGTTTGTGCATAACACGACGGTGTTTTTTGATGCTCAGGTAGCTCATGACACGCGTCAGCCGATCCGCCACAGTGCCTGCTGGGAGTGGGCATGTTAGAATGCTCGTCTGTTGTCTGGGAGGTTTTTGTAAAATTAAGGCCCCCCCTACCCGCACGCACTCCTCGAAAACCGTCCATCCTGAAATTGCTGTCTGGCGGTCGTTTCGGCCTTCAGACGGCTCTAAAACGACTTCCAAGGCAGCCAAGACGACAACAAAACAGCTCAAGATGGCCCAAGACAGTTCAAGAGCCACTCCAGAGACCCTCAAGACGGCTCAAGATAGCCCAAGAGGACCTCAAGACGGCCCAAGAGGCCCCCAAGACGGTCCGAAGAAGGTCCAAGAGGCACTCCTGGAGAGCCCGAGGGGGCCAAAACCGATAACGTCCCTTGAGTGTTTGAACGATTTTGAGGTGTTCGGGTTTCCGACCACCCAAGACGGCCTAGAGGCTCCAAAGAGTCATCCAACACAGACCAAGAGGCCCCAAAGAGGGTCCCAAGTCGGCCCAAGAGGACCGCCCGAGGGGCTCCCAAAGAGGCCTCTTGGGCTGCCTTGTTCGGTCAGAAACCCAAACATACCAGCACCTGATAATCCTTCAAACATCTGGGCGAATCAATGTTGTTTGTCCTTCGCGGTCTCTCCTGGAGAGCCTCTTGGAGACCTCTGGGGCCGCCTGGGGGGCCTCGTAATCTGTCTTGAGGCCTTCTTGAGACACTCATGGCCTCCAGGACGACTTTCAAGGCGGCCAAGATGACGCCAAGATGGTCCAAGATGGCCCAGACGGCACAAGAGGCTCCCAAGACAGCCTCAAGACTGATCAAGAAGCCCCCAAGACGGCCCAAGAGGTCTCCAAAAGGCCCTCCTGGAGAGCCCGCGGAGGCTGAGTTGCCTCGGGTGTTTGAAGGATGTTGAGTTTCTTCATTGCTCGGGTTTCCGACCGCCCAAGACGGCCCAAGAAGCCTCCAAGGGGCCGCCAAGATAGCTCCAAGACAGCCGAGGGGGGCCCCAAGAGGTCTCCAAGTCGGCCCAAGGCGACTCAAAAGATCATCCAAGAGGCTCCCAAGAGAGCCCCAAGACGGCCGTGAACCGCTCCAAGAGGGTACCAACGCGGCCTAGAGAGGCCCCCAAGACGGCCTCCATAGGCGTCAGACGGACCAAGAGTCTCCTAAGACGGCCCAAGAGTGCCCAAGGGGCCCGATGAGGCCCCCAAGAGGCCCGCAAGAAGCTTTCAGGAAGCTCCCAGGAGCCCCCAGGGAGCCCCAACAAGGCACCAAGATGCCCCCTCCTCTTCCTCCTCCTCCTCCTCCTCCTCCTCCTCCTCCTCCTCCTCCTCCTCCTTCTCCTCCTCCTCCTCCCCAACACGGGCCACTGTTTTCTGGATACGAGTCGTTCCTCATGGTAGTCGCCACCCTCCGTTCCCCTCCTCAACCTTCCTTTGGTCCTCCTACTTCTCACGCTCCTCCTGACCCCGTTTCCGCTTTTCCCCCTCCTCCTCCCCATCCTCCTCCTCCTCCTTCCTCTCCTCCCCCTCCTTCTCCCCCTCCTCCTACTCCTCCTCCCCCTCCTCCTCCTCCTCCCCTCCTCCTCCTCCTCCTCCTCCTCCTCCTTTCTCCTCCTCCTCCCCCTCCTCCTCCCCCTCCCCCTCCTCCCCAACACGGGCCACTGTTTCCTGCATACGAGTCTTTTCTCATGGTTGTCGCCCCTCTCCGTTCCCCTCATCAACCTTCCTTTGGTCCTCCTACTTCTCACGCTCCTCCTGACCCCGTTTCCGCTGTTCCTCCTCCCCATCCTCCTCCTCCTCCTTCTTCTCCTCCTCCCCTTCCTCCCCCTCTCCTCCTCCTCCTCCTCCTCCTCCTCCTCCTCCTCCTCCTCCTCCCCCTCCTCCTCATCCTCCTCTTCATCCTCCTCCCTTCCTGTTCCCTATGAATAACTCCTCTGTCGCACCCAGAGGCCAGTCGGAAGGGCGGGCTGGGCGTTTCGCATGAGACTTCCGTACCGCTTATCATCCTGAATCTTACACAAGAGCTTCACGGATTGAGGGCGGGTCGTTTCTTAAATGTGGCTCTCGCCTTAGCACCGCGCACATTCGCCTTAAAAACTTGCAAGGGCTTCACGGTTTGAGAGACGGTCGTTTTCAAAATGTGAAAATGTGGCTCTCGCCTTAGCGCCACGCACGTTCGTCTTAAAAATTTGCCAGAATGTCTCGGATTGAGGTCGGGTCATTATCAAAATGTGGCTCTCGCCTTCGCGCCACGCACATTCGCCTTAAAAACTTGCAATGGCTTCAGGGCTTGAGGGACGGTCGTTTTCAAGATGTGGCTCTCGCCTTAGCGCCACGCACATTCGTCTTAAAAATGTGCCAGCATTTCACGGATTGAGGGCGGGTCGTGGGCTCCCCCCCCTCGGCACTCCTCCCTCTTCCCTCTCGTCCTCCCTCTGACCTCCCTCGAGCCTCCTCCCTCCTCTCACATACCACCCCCCTGCCGCCTCTATCCCTCACACCCCCATTCCCTCTTTTCCTATCCTCATACCATCTTGTCCTCCTCCTATCCCCGCCTCCTCCTCCCCTCCTCCACCTCCTCCTCCTCCGCCGCCGCCGCCGCCGCCTCCTCCTCCTCCTCCTCCTTCTCCTCCTCCTCCTCCTCTCCGCCTCCTCCCCCTCCTCCTGCCCCCGCTCTTTCATGTTCCTCCTGCTCCTCCTCCTCCTCCCCCTCCTCCTCCCCTTCCTCCTCCCCCTCCTCCTCCCCCTCCTCCTCCACCTTCGCCCCCGCAGGAGGGAGGAGGGGCGGCACAGGCCCGACGCGGACACACACACCCGGTGCCAGGACCCCCGCGAGTCGAGCCTTCGCCTCGGACATTGGGAAGACGACCAGGTCCTCCGGGTACGACCTCGGGCTGGCCCAGCGCGGCGATACGAATACGGAACGATCGACGGTGCAGTCAGAAAGAGCAAAAGGGCAAGCATGCCTGCCGAAAGGCATGCGCCCGAGACGACGCGTCTGGAATGCGTCGAGTTCCAACCTCTCCATCATATCCCCATCCTCATCTACAACCTCCTCGCCGCCGCCGTGCAAAGCAATAGCCTACGAGATAGCAGGGGCGGGAGGTCAGAGGTAGAAGCCTGCCATGGAGCAAAATGGCGGAAGCCTGCAAGACAAAACGCAGGCGCCTTCTCATACGTTTCTGAACTTCCAAAGATGGCGCCTTGCCCATGCCACTGTTCAGATCGCCACGCCCAGGCGGCCAGACAATCGCGGCAACCGATCATGGGGGGACGGGGCCTCCCCCTCGCCCCTCCAGACTCCCACTCCCCCTAACCCAGTTATTCCTCCTCCTCATCCTCCTCTGCCTCCTCCTCGCCATCCTGATAGTTACCACCATCATCATCATCATCATCATCATCATCATCATCAGCAGCAGCAGCAGCAGCAGCAGCATCAGCATCATCATCAACAACATCATTATTGTCATCATCATCATCATCATCATCATCATCATCATCAGCATCATCATCAGCATCATCATCATTACCATCACCATCACCATAACCATCACGAACATCATCGTCACTATCATCATCAGCAGCAGCATCAGCATCAGCATCATCATCATCAGCATCATCATTATTCTCGACATCAGCATCATCATCATAATCATCAAGAGCATAATCGTCATGATCATCATCAGCATAATCATCATCCTCAGCAGCAGCATCACTATTATCACATATACATATATACATATATATATATATAGGTGCAGCATCAACACGCCAACCACCGCGACCATCATCATCATCAGAATCATGAGGATCATCATCATCATGATCAGCAGTAGCAGCAGCAGCACGTCATCCTCTTCATCATCACCACCGTCATCATCAGCATCATCATCACCGGCAGCATTGACATTATCATCATCAGCATCATCATCACTGCCACCACCACCACCACCATCGTCATCATCATCATCAGTATCATCCTGGCCATCGTAATCGCAATCATCGCCATCATCAGCATTATCATCATCATCATCGGCATCCGTAACATTATCAGCATGCCCGTGATCAACATCATCACATCATAAACGTCACCCTCGGCTGCATCTACATTGACATCATCACCATCGCGCCATCAACAATTTCACCACCATGCACCTCATCCGCATCATCATCATCATCATCAGCATCAGCATCAGCATCAGCATCATCGTTATCATCATCATTATCATCGTCATCAGCATTAGATCAGCATCATCAACATCAATAGTGGCAACATCATAATCACTATCAAATCAACACCATCGTCATCAACACCATCTGTATCAACATCGTCGTCTTCATCGTCGTAACCGTCATCATGTTCAGCATCATCAGCAGCATCATCATCAACATCATCATCACCATCGTCATCGTCATCATCACGCATCGTCATCCTTCGCCACCCATCATCATCATCATCATCATCATCACCATCATCACAGTCACAATCACCATACTCATCATCATCAGCAGTAACATCATCATCATAATCATCATCGTCATCATCAACATCATCAAAATCGTCACCACCGCCACCATCATCAACAGCATCATGCTGACCATCGCCATCACCAACAGCATCACCATCATCATCATCATCATCATCATCATCATCATCATCATCATCATAACCACCATCATCGTCGTCATCATCATCATCATCATCATCACCATCATCATCATCATCATCATCATCATCATCATCATCATCATCATCATCATCCTCATCCTCATCCTCATCACCACCAACAACATCATCATGATTATCATCACCAGCACCACCATCATCATCATCATCATCATCATCATCATCATCATCACCACCACCGCAACCACCAGCACCATCGGCGTCATCATCACCAGCATCAGCATCAGCATCAGCATCAGCATCATCAGCGCCAGCATCATCATCATCATAATCAGCATCATCATCACCACCATCACCATCAGTAGCATCATCAGCATCATCATTATCATCATCAGCAGCATCATCATCACCATCATCATCACCATTCGCCACCGTGAATTCACGGAGTGGGCGTGTTAGAACATGGGCCGGCACGAAAACTGAAAGAGCGCTGCAGAAACGTGCCCGAGATGGCTCATGGCACCGCTCGCTTTGGGGAGCCTTGGTGTCCAGAGCTTTCTACGTCACCGATCGTGCCTTCTTGGCGTCTCTGGGCCGTCATTGGGGCTCTTTTGGACCGTCTTGGGGCCCTCTTGGGCCGCTGAGCCGTCGTAGGGCGCCTTGGAAGCATTTGGCCGTCTTGGGGCTGGGGCCTCTTGGGGCCCTCTTGGGGGCCTTTGGGGGCCCTCTTGGTCTCTCTTGGGACCGTCTTGGGGCCCTCCCGGGCCGTTTGGGGCCCTCCTGGGCCGTCTGGGGGCCCTTTTTTTGTTTTGCCGGTTTGCCACTGCTTGAGGGGCGAGAAGACGGTGGCCGACGAGGGTGCCGATGCGGCCGCACGGGGACGAGCTGGCGGCGCCCCGGCCGCACGGAGTGGGCTCCTCCACGGCGGGCCCCCCCGCGGCTCACTTGGAGCGCTGGCGCATCTTGCGGCGCTTCTTCTGCAGGCGGCGCGTGCGTTTCTTCTTCCACTTCCACCGGAACATCGACCTGGCCTTCTTGTACGGGTTCGACTTGTGGGCCATGGCCGCCGGAGGCGGCGGGAGCGGCGGGAGGCCTGAGGCAGAGTGCCCGCGCCAGAGTGGCTTGAGCCAGCCGTCGGGGGCCCTTTGGGACCGTTTTCGGGCCTATTGGGAGCGTTTGGGGCCGTTCGGGGGCGATCTTTGCAACCCTTTGGGCCGTCTTGGGCCGTTCTGGGCCAGAAAAAACAGAAACCCGAAAAACCGAATAAGTCCTTACGAAGATTTACGCGTTTGGCATCCTGCGGCCCTTTCAGGGGCCCTCTTGGGGGCCTCTGAAGCCGTCTTGACGCTCTTTTGGACCGTCCCAAGGCCATCCGAGACCAACTTGGAACACTATTGGGCGGTCTCGGGCTCTCTTCGAGCGTTCTTGGGAGCCGTCTTGGACTCCTCCTGGGGGTTTCTTGGGTCGCCCTGGGGGTATATTGGGCCGTCTTGGGCGGCGCTTCTGGGGCCGTTTAGGGGGGGGGGCCTTTTGCCCGAAGTTCCCCACCCTACGCCCCTCCCCATGGACCGAAGGCTTCCCCATGGGATTGTTTTCGGATCCGTTCCCTCAAAGGCATTGTTGGGGCCGTGTTGGGACCCTCTTGGGGCCCTCCTGGGTCGTCTGAAAAACGTGGGCCGTCGATGGGGCAAGTTTGGAAAGATGCCTTCCCCTTGTGCGTTTCTGCTGGGGGGTTAGCGGGGCGTCCGGGGGCCTCGCTGTCCGTCTTGAAGCTACCGCGGGCCCTCTTTGAGCGCTCGCGGTCCGTCAGAAGACCCCTTTGGGCCTCCCTGAAGCCGTCGTTGCGGCAGCTTGGGCACACTGAGGTGATCGGAAGTGATACTGAGGACCTGGGCCGTCTCAGGTTGCACATGACCGAAAATCGGGCGATTGGGTCTGGGGCCGCCGAGACCGACACCTTCACATTCCCCCATTGGTATGTCCCCGCCTAACGAATCGCGAAATCGCGACGCTACGCGCGCTACCCGTCACCAAAGTTGCACGTTCCCCGACAAGCCGATCGCACGCTACACGCGCTGTCCGTCATCTGGGGCTACAGACGCCATCCCCTCATACTCTCCCTACGGTTATGATGGTGGTGACGGTGATGGTGATGATGAAGATGTTGTTGGTTGTGATCATGGTGGTGGCAATTAAAGTGACGATGGCTACGACAACGACGACGAGGATGATGATGACGAGGGTGATGGTGATAATGACAACGATGAGGCCGATGGCGATGCTGATAACAGTGACGCTGCTGATTATGATGGTGATGGGAGTAATGACGATTGTTACCATCATCCCCCCCAAACTCTCTCTTTCTCTCTCTCTCTCTCTCTCTCTCTCTTTCTCTCTCTCGCTCTCTCTCCTCTCTCTCTCTCTCTCTCTCTCTCTCTCTCTCTCTCTCTCTCTCTCTCTCTCTCTCTCTCTCTCTCTCTCTCTCTCTCTCTCTCTCTCTCTATATATATATATATATTTCTCTCTCTCTCTCTCTCTCTCTCTCTTTCTCTGTCTCTCTCTCTCTCTCTCTCCCTCTCTCTGTTCGGAAAGCGATGTTCCCGCGCAGTGGCCCCAGCTAAACCCAATAGCGCGTGAATTGATATGTCGGGGTGTACCACGGGAGTAACGTCGGACCTCCCGGTGGACACCAGAACGCGTCAGAACGCGCATGACCCCTTTCGGTCATGTGGAGGCCGCAGGGGGCCTTGAGCGACACGCCCCTGGCACGTTAGGAAAGAACTGCTATTGATGGCGGCGATGACGATGGAGGCGAGGATGCAGATGAAGACGAAAATGATGACAATGATGAAGATTAAGATGAAGATGAAGAGGAGGATGAAGATGGAGATGAAGATGAAGATGAAGATGGAGATGAAGATGCAGATGAAGCTGATGATGACGATACAGGTTAAGATCGATATGAAGATGAAGACGAAGATGAAGATGAAGATGAAGATGAAGATGAAGATGAAGATGAAGATGAAGATGAAGATGAAGATGAAGATGAAGATGAAGATGAAGATGAAGATGAAGATGAAGATGAAGATGAAGATGAAGATGAAGATGGAGATGAAGATGAAGATGAAGATGATGAAGAAGATGACGATGCAGATGCAGATGATGATGATGAGATGCATGCAGATGAAGATGCAGATGAAGATGAAGATGAAGATGAAGATGAAGATGAAGATGAAGATGAAGATGAAGATGAAGATGAAG